ATGAAAGTGGCGCTGTTGCTTTTTTTTAATTGCTTAATGATAGATTTGATCATCTTAAAGCAAAATAGAATATGTACTCACCTGCTAAGAGGTAGTGTTAAATCATAATTTCTTTTTAAAAAAATAAAGAAAAAAAACCTGTACCCTGGGTACTTTTTTTGCTATACTAGTATTTCTACTAAGAATGCATAAGTTTACTTTCAGTTTATATGAATGTATAATTTTCTAGAATAGTGTCCTCATCAAAGTGCTTGTAAATATTTTATACTCCATAGTTAATGCAGACATCCGCAGAGGCCACGCAGGCTACTGCATGAAGCAGTCAGTCCAACACTGTAGATTTGGATAAGCTGGAGAGTATGTAACCTGCTTAAAAGCATTGAAGTTTGAGTTGGTTGTTGTTTTAACATTGGGCAGGGGAAGGGGAGACAGGGGATGGGAAGACATTTGTGGGCCTCATTTGGCTCTTTGTGCTGTAGTTTGCTTAATGCTCTATAGAGAAAAGGAGACAGTAAGATTTTACTATATAGAGCTGTTGAATCCTAACATTCCAGAGACAGAAGGGGCACTAAAGATTCTCTAAACTGAGACCCAGAGAAAGGAAGTGTTTTACCTAAATTAATCTCCAAATGACTACTTCTTTATTTCTTCTAAGTGGGTCTTAAAGACAGGGGGATTTGGAGATCTTTCTAAAGAGGGCATTTCTGTGTTTTTCCAATACAGTGACCATTACCACATGTACTTATTGAGTACTTGAAATGTGTCTAGTGCTATGGAGGAACTGAATTTTAAGTTTTATTTCATTTTAATTCATTTAAGTAGCCCCACGTGGCCAGTAGGTACCCTATTGGACAGAGAAGCTCAGGTATTACAATTTTCATTCCTTATCACAGTCTACCTGGAAGAAACATGAGCATCAGTCAATTTTACCTTCTCACAGAGAATATTTTAAACTGCTCATCTCCAAAATACAAGTTCAGTAATATTTTTTATGTTCATTCAGGTCAGTCTCATGGTGGTTCAGGTAGCGTGATTATTTTATGAATGGAGAGCAATGATGCTTTCAGTGGTACAAGCTCCTCGAGTAAATCCAATCTTAGGCCAGCCCTTCAGGACATTATCTTGCTAGATTTGTGGTTCCCTGCTAACTGCTTCATTCTTTTATGGAGCAGGAAAGTGCTGAATGCCTGTTGCATACTCTCTCCTCCCCCCAATATATTGGAAAAGAGAGGAAATGTTAGCCAAAACCCATTTTGCAGTTTGTGACCCAATAAAAAGGGCCACGGATCAAGGATATGATTCATTCAAGGCCATTGTGAAAACAAAGGCTCGCTTTATAAACTGGAATGCTGTGCTCCCAGGATGGTTCTGAGCACCCCTGTGGGAAGGACAGAGAAGTGCAGGAAGGAACTTTTCTCCCCATGAATCCATTCATCATGCTCACGCTGACATGGAGAATTCCAGCTTGCAGCATCGGTTTTGATTTTCTCTTATGCTTCCTGTGGTTTCTGACTCTCAGGACGATCCTCACACAGTCAACAGTGGAGTATTTCTACAATTTATAATTTCTCAAATTATTTCAATAAAGGGAATATGGCTATTCCCATCCTAAAGGTACTTTGAAAGTTTGAAACTGAAAACTCTAGACGCGGGTATTGCATCTGCATTGGTGTAGGCCTGTGAGCTTGTGTTCTTCATTGGTGTCTTGGTGAATGCTTGCATCTTAAGTTAAATTATTCAAGAAAAATAAACCTAACAATGTTAGTAATTTTTAAATAAAATAATCCCTAAATGTTTAATACTATTCTGACCAAGGACAATCTATTTTTTTTTTAAAGGGCAATCTATTTTTAAAAGATCCCCTCTACGTTGTTTGTTTTATTTTGGTTTGAATGGGATAGGGAAACACCTAATGGGGAAAAAATCTTACGTAACCTTCTTTGAAACTTTTTTTTATTATTCTACAAGAGTAAGCATTTCTAATATGTTTGGCCTGGAATTTTCTTTGTTGGGATATTACAATTGAAGGTAGCAAGTAAGAAATAAAAAAAATAATTGTGTCCAACAAATGTCTATTTGTGTGTTAAGACCAGGACTTGTACATCCTTGCCAATATCTCTTCTCTTCCCAGACAGGGTTAATACTTAGGATGCTGAGATGTTCCCCAGGAGGCAGAGATTGAGGGAGGGATTTATGCCTCCTGAAAAGGCCTGGGCTCTTTGCCTCTTGTTCCACTGATTTCTTAGGTGTCAGACTATAGATCCACTCAGACTGGAGTTTTTCCCCTGCGAACCTGATAGAACTGTGGATCTATTAGCTGCCTAACAATATGGTCTTCTCCAGTGCCACACTGGATATGCTTGGAGAGAAGGAATAGATCACAAACCTTTATATACTCCATTTTTCACTGTATTTCATTTTCCTCGTTGCTTGGTTTATTCCACAAATACTTATTGGGAACATTATGCTGGTGAAACACAATGGTAATAATAATAATAAAGTAGGAGTAATAATCTCCTACTTCCTATTCATTTGAAATTATATATTATAATACCATCAACCTTGATAGGAGAAAAGATTATGTAAATAGTATTTTGCTGAAATAATCCCAGTATTGATGGTGTTCATCGATATCAGGGATTCTAAGTTAAAAATGAATTAAAATTGCTATATTGCCCAGCCAGTGTGGCTCAGTGTTTGAGGTCACAGTTCAATTCCCGGTCAGGGCACATGCCCGGGTTTCGGGCTCCTTCCCCAGTAGGGGTGTGCAGGAGGCAACCGATCAATCATTCTCCCTCATCATTGATATTTCTATCTCTCTATCCCTCTCCCTTTCTCTCTGAAATCAATAAAAATATTTTTTAAAATGTTATATTATTTTGATTAAAGGAATTCAATGTAACAGTAGTTCCTAATAGTACAAAATTCAATATTATAGCTGTTAATGCAAAAAAAGAAAAAATTCAACCCTAGTTGTTTCCTCCTTCTCAACTACCAGTGTCATCTTCCAACTTTTGTGATGCCTCCCCTGGGAACCACATATCTTATCCAATTTTACTTTCAGGATAAATTGCATGGAGGTAATAATAGAAAGCTAATGTCAGTCTGAGAGGAGATATTATAATGGGAAAGTACTCTACTGGAAAGAATTTTCAGAGTTTTATAGGTATCAAAAATACACTTATGTTATTGTACTTAACCCTTCTTACTACTTGGAGTTTCTATGCGAAAGGAATTTACAGTACATTCCTTTTTCTGATATGCCGTGAAATGCAAACGCTAATATAACACTTGCCCTTTAACTGCTAAATCTTTACCACTGGCCTGAAAGTTCCTGCAGTGCAAGGGCTTGTGTTTACTTGCTGTGTCCCCCACATCTAATCTGGCACAGAGTTCTGGACTCCTGGATTATTCGTTGAGTGCATTGATTTTGTGACTGCACAATTACATTCGTGTATATGGTACCCTATAGCTTTCAAAGCATTTTCACTTAGGTTATTTTATTTGGCTATAACAATAATTCTGCGAGAAATGTAGGACAGATGTTTTAATCAATGAATAAAATTGCAGTTCAAGTGGGTTATAGCAGACCCAGGATAGGAGGAGGTCAAGGTCATAATAGTCAATTGGGTTTTTTATTCAATTATTATCATTCAACAAATAGTTATTATTATAGACTAGTCACTATGCTAAATTTTTTAACTGGATTATCTTACTTAACCCTTGCAACAACCCCATGATATAGAACTATTTTTATCCCCATTTTAGAGATGAAGAAAATGAGGCACAACAAAGTTAGGTGACTTGTGCGAGGCAACACAGCTAGTGTCAGCACTGGGATTTAGGCTCCAGCAGTGAGGTCACAGCCTGAGCTCTCAATATGGCCTAACAGTTTTAGGGTGACCCTCTAAAAAGTATGGCAGTATGCACACATAAATCAAATAATTACCATGGCGATTTCTTAATGCCTTTATTAAATTAGTTATAATAAATGCATTTTGAATGTCTCTGTAAGTTTATTAGCCAGAGATTACTGTTGTAGGTTATAGATAAAAAGACAATACAAGAGAAAAAGAAAAGAAATTTAGAATAAAGTAGTCACACAAGTTGCCAAGACTAGAAGAGAGGCAAACTATCATTCTTCTGTGATAGATATAAGGTACCTCCCAGGTGATGGAAAATGAGTCTGAGAAAAATGTATTCAAGGCAACTGAATATGTGTCAGGTCTCGTAAAAGATGCTGCAGTCAGAAAAGAGCCTACCACTGCCACCAAATGGGATGATCACAGCATGGGGAAACCTCATTGGAACTCAGCAGTGTGGCTTTTTAATGAAGATTCCTACCTGCCTATACCATATAAATGTCTGGACTTCCGTCTCCAGCTTGAGCTCTCTCCAGCTACTTATTAACGAGTGTACCTCACCCTATCTCAACTATCCAGGGTAGCTGAAAACACACTAAACTTTAAGAGAGCAGAAGCCTAGAGAGAGTTCTACTTCCAATAAGCTGCAGTAATTGAGGGTATGAGGACTATTTATGTGGGACGAATATGTTAAAATCAACATTGTTTTAAATGGAGTCTCATTTACGTATGCAAAACGGGCAATCATGAAGGAGGAAAGGTAGAGTAGAACCATTAACATTATTTATAGCCTGTGAAACCCAAAGGCTAAATGTCACGATGATAACAGAGAGACCATTGGACCTGGACTGTCCATCTTGGCAAGTAATATGCTGAGGTGGCCTTGGGCAAGTCTTATCACCTCTAAATCGTCATTGCCATGGTGGTCATGTTCTGTAGGTTGAATTTTAAATCACATCTCATCATACTTACGATAAATAGGTAAATTCATCACATGCTTTTTAAATGTTTTTCCAGTACATGAATAAATATGTGTCTGATGTGTCATATAAACTTATTTAACATTTTGGTACTTCTGCTGAAAGTTATTCTCACACCCAAAGTCATCTTTCCTTACTCAGATTTTCTCTTTCATAGAGCAAATTGGCCAAGAGATGTTGGAAAACCTCAGTCATGACAGAGAAAAGATACAGAGAGCACGTGAAAGAGTAAGTAGAAGTGATATCATCTTTTCACAAATTCAATAAATGATAAGACATGAAACTTAGGGTCTTTGTGACAGTCACAATCACATAGATGTAAGTATATATGAAAACTAGAGGCCCGGTGCATGGATTCATGCACCAGTGGGGTCCCTCGGCCTGACCTGTGCCCTCTTGCAATCTGGGACCCCTCATGGGATGTTGGAGAGCTGGTTTCGGCCCGATCCCCGCAGACCAGGCCGAGGGACCCCACCGGTGCACGGGGCCTCTAGATCTTTGGTTAATCTCTTCCCACCCTCCCCCCTTCCCTCTGAGATTCATCAGTCTGTTCCATGTTTCCATGCCTGTGGTTTCCGCTCCTGCATTGAGCGTCTACCCCCTGATGGTTCGTGCGCATCATAGTTACCAGACGGTTGTTTAGGCTTTTATATATATAGATGGCTAGGAGGATGGAGGGATGAAGGGATAGAAGACGAAACAGAAGAGTGTGGGATCTAGAAAAAATACGTTGCCTCTTCATGTCCCCATCCTGAAATGCTCCCACAGCGACATTTTATTTAGCTCTATTGCTAAAAAGGTCATTGAGGGAGATTTTGAAGTATATCGGGTCTTTTGGAGTGAAATCTAAAAACATTGGTCTCATCCTTCCTCAAGTTACTCTGCTTCCATTTATAGTACCAGAACTTTGCACATTCACAAATAGGAAAGCTAATAAATTACCAATATATAGCAAACTTTATCAGCCTTTGAGACATTTGCTTTTATATCTAATTCAAGTATCCAGTTTAAAGCTCCTGGGATTATCAATCTCGTGTAGTTTTCTAAATCTAAGAATTTCCAGAGATGGATCATGTGTCAAAAATGTATTTCAGTGCATTTTTTTATGAATTAGATTTTCTAGCATGAAAGAAAATTATTGTTCGCCAGTGCACTTTAAAAAATAATCCAATAGCCTTCAGTTTTGTTTTATTTTAATGCCCCTCTTCTTCTCCTAGCTTCGGGAAACAGACGCTAACTTGGGGAAAAGCTCCAGGGTCCTGACGGGGATGTTGCGAAGGTAAGAGCAAGGTAGGGACCCAACTTTCTCTTTCTCCCCTTTTTTAACTGTGTTTCTCCTCTTGTTGCAACCGGGCATTTTTCAAGCATGCAGGCTTCTGCTCTCAGTACCCTGTGTCGAGACCCTTTTGAAATGCCAGAGCACTGATATTAACTCTTGTTTGGACAGGGACACATTCTGCGCACCTTAGATTAGAGAGAAGGTTTGAGCTAGAGGGGTTTCCTCAAGCTATGGGAAAAAATTAGGGTTAGACATGAAGTATTTTTTCATAGCCTGAGGAAGGCCCCATGGCAGGAGCTGCGTGATTTTATTTTCTATTCCGGTAGTCTCTTTCTTAGAGAGGGAATGCAGGCCTGCAGTATCGGGAGCACCCCTGGTATTAGCCCTGCGCCATTGCCTTTGTTTTCATTTCTTTTTTTAAGTGATGCTATTTGGGGCAATATCGCGATTTTATGTATACTTCAAGATGGTTTTTATAATTGTAAAGCAATCTGGATAATCTGAATTCACATGTGTGAGCAAACAAATGTTAATGTTTTATATGTGTAATTAAACTTTGATGGAACATACTTGGGAGAGCTTGGAATGAAATGAATGAGTGCAGGTAATTTTGTTTCCATTGGTCTGAAAATTGGAGCCATTTTTCCTTTGGTATATTCAGCATGTAATTATTTTACATTCAGAGTCTAACAAATAAGAGCATTATGAAGCATAACCTTCCATTTGGAGCTGTGGATAGAAATGTGAGTGAGGGAGGGGGGGAGGTTGAGAATTGCCTCTAGAATAGCTTAATTGGAATTTAAAGAAGAGAATCATTTTTCTCATTGATACTGTAGAGACAACTGTTTGAAAATAAGTCTTCTCTGATCGTGCGTCAATAGATAATAATTTGCTGAAAGTATGTTTGCTGGGTTAGAGATTGATCGCGTAAGAACCAATCAAAGGTGGGGTTGCTGAGTCTCCAAGGCCGAGGTGATTTCTCTATCAGGCTGATCAGCAGGGAGTCTCGAGCTCTGGGCACTTTCAGCCAGTGTTGACCCAACTCCACACGCCCCTCCTTTTCCTGCACATATCGTCGTGATTCAGGACCATAAACCACCCAATTCTCTGATTAAGAGTAATACATAAATGACCTAGAAAAACTCAAAATCCACAGAGAAGTGGCTAGTGAAAGGAATGCTTCAGTGCCTATAGACAATAAGAAAGAAAAAAAGGGAACACCCTCCCTGGCTTCCCTGGGAGGCCCCGCCATGTGAGCTGTAACGAGCATTCTGCATATGTCTCCATTTCGTCAAATCTCATTAAAGAGTCCTCCTCTTCATGTCAATGGAGCTGTCTAGGAATCATTCATCATTTTTAGTGTAAAAAAAAATCATGTGGTTATTTAAATAATATCATATTAATGTTAAAGTTCAGCTGTCATTTAATGGTATGGCTTAATCAGATGTAGCATTTAGGAAAAATAGTTTATTCGGGCCGTCCATGGCTTTCAGGTTGGCAGATTCAAATCAGGATTTATGAGTTTCTAAACCAGTGTATTTCTGTCCGTGTTTCTGCTTGATGTACCTCACCCTTCTGTGCAGGGCACCGCCGACAGTTATTTCAACAAATAAAGCATCTCCTCGTATTGCGTTTGAATAAATTTGCAAATCATTTAGAGAGGGTGAAGCACAAACAACTTCTGCAACCTCTGACGGGGCTTTCTGTAGGGAAATCAGACTAACGCGGTTGTTTCAAAAGCCCGCAGAAGAAAATTACTCTGCTGAAATCTACTTGGGGTTCCGTTTGTAGGCAAACTCAGTTCGTCACTGACATGTCTCCTTGTGGGATCCGGCTAGAGTATGAACAGGAATAAAAATCCCCAGATGGACATCACCTTGCTATGGATGTCTGAGCCGAGGAAACTCTTAAGTCCACCTGTGTGTAGTGGTGACTGTGTTTTTCTCTAGGCCAGCGGTTCTCAACCTGTGGGTCGCAACCGCTTTGGGGATCGAACGACCCTTTCACAGGGGTCGCCTAAGACCATCAGAAAACACATATATAATTACATATTGTTTTTGTGATTAATCACTATGCTTTAATTATGTTCAATTTGTAACAATGAAATTGGGGGTCACCACAACATGAGGAACTGCATTAAAGGGTCGCGGCATTAGGAAGGTTGAGAACCACTGCTCTAGGCACAACCGGCATCTTGCGATCAGCCAGGGTACCCAGGTACTTTCAATCAGTAATGGAACCTGTGAGTCTTTGGAACCACATGCAGATGGTGGGTGGGTGTTAGTGTCTAAGTACTATCCCACGTGATAGACAATTTCTGTTGGAATTGGGAAAAGGCAAAAATATTTTACCTACTTAATTATTTCTTACCATTGCCTGGGAAAACAGTGTCTAGGGAAATGGAACCCGGCTTAATGTGCGGGAGTCTTTCGTTCAGATGCTCTGATTTTGCTGCCTCTGGTCTGTCCTCCCGTTTTCATGGCATTCACTCCCAACCTACTGAGGTTTTATCCCAGAAGTCTCATTCTCTTACCCAAACTGCTCGGCGCCAGCGTATGTCCACAGGTGCTTCTGATTTAGGAAAAGTTGACTATTGAACAGTGTGCTCATCCGTCACCCTCATGAATGTGTGAGAGAAATGAATGTCCTCTTTGTGCAGTGGAGGTGTTTGCCTGCGTGCGCCATAAGCTTACTTATTTCCACATGATCAGTTCTGTGTGACTGAGAATAGGTGAATAGTCTATAACATACCAAACCAAGGAACTGTTTTCTTTAAAAGAAAGATTGCTGATTATTTTAATTGTTTAAACTTACATTGTTTTTAAATTTGTAAAATGAACAGAAATGGGCATGCCGTGGCCCCTTTGTTGGGTCATTTTACTTATATTGACTATTATACTGCGAAGACAGGTGAAACCAAAGTTCTATCAGTGCCAATGTCTGCACGTATATCCCCCTGATTCTCTGTAAAACTGGTCAAAAGCAGGTAGGAAATGAAATGAGTAAGTGGCAGCCACTACCATTTATGCTTTTTAATCCTTTAACTTCAAATGAAAATTTTAAAATCTATTTTCTTTCTTCTTTTCTTCTTTTTTGGGGGGGTTGGGGATTATTCCCTCTTCTCTAGTAAATATTTAATGTCTATATACAAGGCCTTGGGGATCCTCAAATGAAACCAGTTTGATTCTTGCCTTCAGATTGCTCTAGTCTAGTAGAGAATATGTTCCTCTAACATGCTACATGCTGTCGTAAAATCATCTCATTCTCAAGGAAGCTGTGAAAGATTCTGCAACTCCCACGAATCCTTACTGGTAATGAAAAAGGGTGCCAGGAAAACAAATAACCAATAGAAAATACGAGTTCAATTGCTATAACGCCACTATGTTTGGGAAATATAGAGACATGGAGGATGATATGGAATCATAAGAGAACCAAGTTTTGAAAGAACAAAAGTATGCAGAAAAATTAGATGAGACACATCTAATTTAGTGAGGTAGCAACTGATTCAACCAACATAAATAAATAAATTACTCTTCATGTAACTACATGATATTACCAGAAGTGAAAACAAAGACATTTGGTCCATTCAAAATTGTAACAGTGAAATATGACATCAGAATACAGATAGCGCTGATTTCCTGTATTTTTCTTCTGTCCTGACGTAAGATAGAGAGCTACCTAGGGACAAATGTTCATTTCCTGACTCTGTAGACAGAGTTTAAATAAAGTGGTGTTTCAGACAACGAAAACGCTCATGAAACAAATGACCACTTGTGTGGTGATTGGGGTGAAAGAAATGGATTTTTCATTGACCTGCACGAAATTTGATTATTTGAATGGCTGTCTTAAAGGGTCACAAGTAGCACCGAGAGGCTTCAGTGTTGCTCCTCATATATTCGCAGGCATGTGCGTGTTTGTGTGTTTCCTCCTACACGTTTGACGGGGAAGTCTTATTAGATCAAACAGTGCCGGCAGTCAGTGAAAATGGAAATAGACGTTTTCCAGATTTTCAGTCAGAAAACAAAGGACATCATGACTCTGTTTCTTTTTACCTCTGAAGAGTTAATCATTTATCAGTAACAGTGTATTTGAATCTAGAGGTATCTGAAGGATTCCTTAGGGATCAACAGAGTTATCATTTGGGAACTCCACTGACATAAATTTGGAGGACATATTAATCAATTTATGTTGGTTCATCGACTGCCTGTATATATGCTGGCAAAAGGCTTACAAAAAGAAATGGCAGATGTTATATATTATTAAAATACTAGAGGCCCGGTGCTTGAAATTCGTGCACGGGTGCGGTCCCTAGGCCTGGCCGGCGATCGAAGTGCAAGCGTCTGGCGTGGAAGGGCAGGTCCCAGCTGACCTCTGGGCCCTGGGCAGCACCTGGGCCCCTGGGCCCCTACGTGTCCTCCTCTGCCTGAGTCATAGCTCCCAAGTCCCCACACGGAGATGAGATGAGCACAGCTAGAAGCTGCGGGCCAGGGAGCAGCTTGAGCTTCTGGGCCGCCCAGTGGCACTGCACGGAAGCTGGGCCGGCAGTGTGCTCTCTCCCAGCCAGTCTTGCAGACCAGCTCTTGTGTGAACCCACAGGGAACCCGACCGGCCCCTGCAGTGGCGGCTGCGGCCCAGAAGATTCACCCGGAAGCCCATTGGGGCCGGCCTTGTCTCCACTACCGCCTGTTGCCAGCACTTCGTCGCTGACACCCGCCATGTTCTGCACTGCCCCCTGGTGGTCAGCACATGTCATAGCAAGCGGTCGAACTCCCGGTCAAACTCCTGGTTGAGGGGACAATTTGCATATTAGGCTTTTATTATATAGGATATTTTTGTATGATTACCTTCATATCAAATACTTTTCTCTCTCACACACCCATATTTTCCCCTACTATTTCCACAATTTAAAATAATCAGAATGCTTCCTTTAAAAAGTGAGTTCTGTTTACCCTCCCAACATCATGTAAACATGTAGTTGGTAAGAAGTCTTCATTACTAAT